GGCGGGGGGCCGGCCCAGCTTGGCCTGCCGGCGGCCTTTTCTGGGGCCTTGGGCCCCTCGCATCAGCCCCAAACTTGGCCAGTCAAAGGGCCCGGGCCTTCGGCCCGCTCGCATCACACACACCGTGAGCGGGTAAAGAAAAGTTATCGATTACCATCGTGACTTGGGCCCCGCCCTTCTATTCACAATATGAAAAGTCCTTACATTTTTTTTTTTCAACTGTCCTTAAATATGCCCTTTCATTTGTCTCTTCGCCCTCTTTCCCGTTTGCCATGCTACTGCAACTCCTTGCAATAGAGGCACAGCAGGAGCGAAAAACCGAGTCCGTCGCACTTTTTCCCATAACTCATGAAGGCGGGCTCCGGGACCCCCCTTCCGACCCCTCGTTGAAGAGTCTTCCCAAAGGGCCTACCCAAAAACTTAAGAAAAAATTTTTCAGTCGGTCGCCCCCCTTTTTTCAAGATCCTGATGTGACTAATAGACGAAGTCGGGCTCCTGGACCCCCTTTCCGACCCCTCGTTGAAAAGGTCTTGCTGAGACCAATCGAAATCTGCAAAAAATTTTTTTTTAGTCGGTCGCCCCCTTTTTTTTGAAGATCCTGATTGGCCAACTTGTAAAAGCGGCCGATGGGGTCGGGACCAGGTCCATTCACTTGTCTCGTCGCCCCGTTTCCCAAAAAAACCCCTATGTGCCCTGCTAGCACAATAATGGCGGAAACCCCCCTCCCGCTCATGTAAACCATGATGCACCTGCAGCAGCCCTTGGCGACCCGGACGGGATTTGCACCCCCGGATTATTTGTTTGGACGGTACTCCTGAAGTCCCTCCAAATCTGGTTACTATAGCTCAACTCCTTCCTTGTACACAGACGCCAACAACAACAAAAACAACAAAAAACAACAAAACCAAGGAAACAAGGCCCCCCCCAAAAGAAGGGGGGGCCCCCCCCCCTATTTTTTGAATAGAAGGGCGGGCTAAAAATAGATATTATTATGGTTGCTTGAATGCGTCTGCCAATGAGTGATAATAAAAGGCTGGGAGTGCATGAAGTGTGCAGCTCTCCCAACTTCATTCGACAGTGGTTTGTTTTTTGCGCCGCCGATTGACCGCTTTTTCCTTGCAGCGTTCCTGAGGGTGAGCCCCGCCGAGGTGATGTTGGGCCGCAGCGCGGACTACTGGCCCGTGCCCACACTGGTGGGCCAGAATGACGCGGAGGGCATGATCGTACTCATGCCGGACATCATCACGACAGGTGGGAGACCTCTTGGCAAGCCAGAATACTCTCTTTGTATATCGAGGGGTCCTTTCAAAAGATCATATCTGGGCGTTTCCACCAAGAGAATCTTAGCTTAGACGCCAGAGAATTTCAGTAAATTTGATCATTTGATACAGCTACAAATCAATGTTCTTTGGATTTAATTCACTCACATCTAATGATGAAAAATCAAATAGACCAAAAGTGGTTGCAGAAATATATTCCGCTTACACCTTTATCCGTCCCAAATGATAAACATGAGTGAAATTCGTCTGCGTTAAAGATCAGATTCTCAGGGGGAACGCCCAAATGAGATCCTTCGTACAGGACCCCTCGATATGACGAAACAAAATGACTTTGTTAAGAGGGAAATGGGGCAATCGGCCAGTACGCACGTTTTCTTTGTGTAACGAAGGTTTTTTATCTTTCAATGAAAGCATTGAAACGATTCGTGTTATAAAGAAATATTGCCTTGAATATGTTTTGTGGAGAATTTTACGTAACATGCAGGGTGAATTTTTTTCGGTGTGTCAATAATTTGTAGGAACCTTTGGCACCCCTAGTGGGCGCAAACGTCTAGTTACTGAGATAATACGTTTTTTCTTATTTACCTTCGCGCCCACGAGGTAGGCTCCCGCCGCACTATGATCTAGAATCCCGCAAACGCGGAAAAAATTCCTATGGTCTTGAATTTCCCCCCTAGTAGGTATTTTGGGTCGAGGAATCTGAATCTGTCATTAGTTTTGAGCTATGGTTACGTGCTTTTCAAGAAAATTGCAAAAACGCTCAAAAAGACTAAAAATTGCTGAAATGTTGCTGCATGAGATATTTGAAGTCGGGTACAGAGCTTCTCGAACTACTTTCGAGGTCCCAATCGTTCCTCCCATTTTCAAAATTCTACCAATGATTATCATGTCAGTGCAAGAATGAAACCAAGCACATTTCAACCGCAATGTGCGCAGTCGGCTTACCATCGGTTAAACACCGATATTTTTTAGGGGAACGAGCTAAACGGACACAGGACGGACCCGCTATGCGTCCATTGTAAGACCACCATGACCAATACCCCGCTGAGGAAACCACTTTAGTCCACCGGGCAAGAATTGGAAAGAACTCACTTTTAAAATGTAATCAAACTTGTTTTAGAACGCGAAGGTTTTTATAAAAGGCATATGCCTGAATTTATGTTCGGAATTTTTCTGAGTTCTTCCTTAACATTTCTTGTTAAGGGGGCACACCAGTGAAAATGTAGAGGTTTTGAAAAACGATCATTCTGAGAAAAGTAACCCATGTATTCGATTGATATTTTATTCGTAGCTCAAAATTATATCAAAGAAAAGAAAAATCAGTATGGGAGGTGGCGGGTCCTCATGAGTGGGTGTCAAGGGACTCGCAGTACTCGCGGGAGTGCCACTGACGTCGCAGAAGCACACTGTTAGAAATTCTGTCGTAAATTAGCGACAAAAAAATCGCTAATTTTCATAGCGACGGAAATCGTTCTTAAACTACTTCGTCGTTACTGAACGACTAAAAAATCGTTTCTCTACGACAATGTCGTAATCACGATTACATATTTTGACACCTGAAATCCCCGAAAAGTTGGTGACAAGTTACAATTTGGTCACTTATTTACGATTTCTGTCGTTCATTTACGATTCATAACACGAATTTACGACAAGAGTCGTAAATGTACGACTGAAGTCATAACTGCACGACATATTCGAAATATGATTTACGATTGTTCGTAGACTTACGATTAAGTCGTAAGTTAACGACTTAATTTGTTTTAAAACGAAACGTGTCGCTATCAAAATTAGCGACAAATATGTCGTACATTTACGATTCAAGTCGTATATTTACGACTTGAGTGTTAACAAAATATGTCGTTTAAAAACGACATAATTGTTCTACAAAAGTCGTAAATTTACGATTATTTTTAACAGTGTACCCGTGGAGTCCTGCTACCCTCGCGAACACAGCCGTGAGGTCCACTGTTACGCAGGCCACCAAGACAGCCACTTGCGACCCTCGGCGACTTGCGTCCCCCGAAAGGACAAGTGCAAGGTCTGCCGCTCCCCCGCGAGTCTCGAAGCATCCCCGCTAGACCCGCGACGCCCTCTCGTGAGGTCCTGCGACCCTCAGTGGTAGCGGGTGCCTATCTTGCAAATGCGAATGCCTATTACAAAACACCAATTATCTCCGTACGTAGACGTTTGCGCCCACTAGTTCATTAGTAAAAAATGATCCCCTTGGTGTGCCCAAGCTATCTACAAATTATTGACACATCGAGAAAACTCACCCTGTATAAAAAAATTTAAAAAATAAAAGTTTTATCTGTTGGGAACTATACTTGATGCGAATTATACCTGATGAAACCAAAAATAAATCATTTATACCTGTTGAGAATTATGCGTGTTGACAATTATACCTAAAGAACATTATGAGGCTTTTTTTTTTAAGAAGTCCGATCGTGGAACACGACCGATGCCGATTCCCTCCATTTTTTGGTCAAAGGTAGTCCTTGTGGGTCTAAGAAAGGCCACAATTTTTTGGGCCAAAATATGCACCGTTCAGATTCTAGGGGCAATTTTCGTTTTCTCTGACAACTTTTCACATAATAGGGCCCAAAAATTGAAAAATCACCTTTCTGAGGCCTCTATGCATCGTTTGAGCTAAAAAATGTGCTTCTTATGTAAAATCACGCGAGGAACACGAATCCGGTGCCCGTTTGTTGATAGGACAACCCAAACAGATGTTAGACTGTTTTTCAGGTTTTTTAGTGGTTTTTTTCTTTTCTTGGGGTTTTGGTGTTCGGCATCGATTTTCGCCAATCCGATGAGTGGCTTTTATAGATAAAGGACCAATCTATCATACTACGAGATAAAAAGTTTGTGTACGACGCGTGAAAAGCAGTGGCGCTGCAAAAATTGAAAACCCGTCATTTCTGGGTAGTTTTAGATCAGATAAGCCACCTTTCGCGTGACCGTCTCCGCCCCATATTCAGTCTAAATATTGTCCCAAGTGATGTCAGAGTTGGTGTGAAATTTCACCGCTGTAGCTCAAGTAGTTTGGAAATGGCAGCTTTCTAAAGTTTTGCAATCACGTAAGGCATTTACTTGAAGTAGAATTGCGGTAAATGTGAAGACTTGTCACAGATCGGGTAATAAGTGAGATAGATGAGTGCGTCAAAGTTCTCTAAGCGTAATTTTGGACAAGGAATCCGATTTTGCTGGTACGAAGACCCTAGGCGAACTCTGATGTTGGAAAAAAGGCAATTTTTATGTGGTTTGCACGAAAACGTAGTTTTAGAGTACACCTAGGGTCTTCGTACCGGCAAAATCGGATTCCTTGTCCAAAATTACGCTTAGAGAACTTTGACGCACTCATCTATCTCACTTACTACCCGATCTGTGACAAGTCTTCACATTTACCGCAGTTCTACTTCAAGTAAATGCCTTACGTGATTGCAAAACTTTAGAAAGCTGCCATTTCCAAACTACTTGAGCTACAGCGGTGAAATTTCACACCAACTCTGACATCACTTGGGACAATATTTAGACTAAATATGGGGCGGAGACGGTCACGCGAAAGGTGGCTTATCTGATCTAAAACTACCCAGAAATGACGGGTTTTCAATTTTTGCAGCGCCACTGCTTTTCACGCGGCGTACACAAACTTTTTATCTCGTAATATGATAGATTGGTCCTTTATCTATAAAATCCACTCATCGGATAGGCGAATATCGAATTCGAACACCAAAACCCCAAGAAAAGTAAAAACCACTACAAAACCTGAAAAACAGTCATAACATCTGTTTGGGTTGTCCTATCAACAAACGGGCACCGGATTCGTGTTCCTCGCGTGATTTTACATAAGATAGCACATTTTGAGCTCAATCGAGTGCATAGAGGCCTCAGAAAGGTGATTTTTCAATTTTGGCCATATTATGTGAAAAGTTGTCAGAGAAAACGAAAATTGCCCATGGGTCATTCTACAGGAATGTTACAATTTCGCAGTTAGAACCGTGAAAAAATAAAAGTTGTCCGATTTCATTCATATTGGGCTTGTTTTTCTTGTTTCGGCATGCAGAATGCGAAACGATATCAAGCGTCACACTTTTCGAGAAAAAAATTTTTCTCCACTGAAATCATAGGGGAAATGTCTACGGAGTTTACATAAATTGACGCCTACGGAGTTTACATTTTGAAGCAAATACCTGGATTGCAGCCGTATGAGTTGGAACAGTAGAACGCGCATACACAGCTGACTAAAGGACCACCAAAGCATTGTTTTTATCCACAATTCGAAAGTTTGACGCACAGGGGATCCGTGGCAAATCGGGTACGGAGTTTACATACAAAAAAAATACGCGACCCCCTTTTTGAAATTTGGGTACCAATTAGATGCTAGCCATTGGACTCACATCCTTCAAACTTGGTGGCTAGATGTGTTTTTTCATCCGGAATCCATTGCAGTCTTCAGATTGAGGCTGTGACTTCTCGTTTGTCTCCTGTAGTGCCAAACTCGTTACAGTGCACATGTGGATTTTAGGGAAGTAAAAACTTCGGGACAAAAGTTAATTCTGTGCAGGCACAAAGCTTCAAACTTTTTACTAAAGTCAGTGGGATTAAGTTAAAGTATAAAAGTGCCTTAGCAAATAGAGCCGTCGGGAATGATTGTCCTGCGTCTCGTTTAGACATACGAGAGGCGCAAACTTAGTGAACTACGCATCGGGACGGCCACGGAGTTTACATTTTGCACCTTCCGGAGGCCACAGCCATCTGAAAACCTCAGAAACTTTCAAACCCAATAGTGGATCATTTTGAAGCACAAAAAGCACCATCTCACCGCGCAAACCGCGTCTTTCTAGGACGAACCGTTTCGTCACAAAGGGGCAGGGACATCAAATTGTAACATTTCTGTAGAATGCCCCAAGTTTGATTACTTTTTGTGTACAAAATTGGCTTTTTCTCCTTGGGTGCGAATCAGAGTTATAACGTCCGAGGGCCACGCGATTTGGAAAACTCACTCTGCAGCGCTCTCTCTCCGCAGACATGACACCCTCGGCCCGAAACTTGGCGCTCCTGCAGGAGGACTTCGAGCGCGCAGTGCCGGTGGAGCTGGGCCTGGCGCGCGGCTCCGCGACGTCTCGGCTCGTAGCAGACATGATGCGGACCCATTACTTCCAGGGCAAGGCCATCTCCGAAGCGACCATCACCAATTTTGTGCAGGTGAGGGCCACGCTGTCAAACCCAAGAGCAGGGATGATACCCAAACCGAAACGATACCAGGGCCGTTACGACACCAGTTTGCACATATGACTTAAACTCAAAAAGTGTAGCACCTGGAACCAAGGGAAGAGGTTTTCCTTGTTGATCAAGGCGTACCGGAGTTTTGTTCCCTATGGGCCAAGTCCAAATTCCGTTCCTAATTTTTGTTGATTTAGGCCCCAAAAAGAACAAAACTCAGGGAAGCGGAATTTGGACCTGGTCCATATGGGAACAAAACTCCGGTACGCCTTGATTAACAAGGAAAAGCTGTTCCCTTGGTTCCAGGTGCTACACTTTTTGAGTTTTAGACATAAGGGCAAACTGTTGTCGTAACGGCCCTGGTATTTTTTCGGTTTGGGTATCATCCCTGCCCAAGAGTGTCAAGAACATTTTTTTTAATGGAGCAGAGAACCATTCTCAAAATGTCTTACAATGAAATTTGAGTGAATTCGGCTCAAGCCCAGCAATATTCCGTCGTAATACATATCTTTTATGTTTTGTCATTGTAAGACATAAAGATATACCTTTGTGAAGCGAAAAAATACTTACTTCGTACTATGCTTGCGCCATTTTCTTCGTATAATTTGAATTTTTCTTGTGAGAAATTTCCAGTGTTTTACAAGCGTTATTTCATGTGATTTGCCCTGCTCCTCGTCACCGATCACTGGTTTTTTTTTAAAAGGGGCGTAAGTCCACAAATTGGCAAAATCCACTTTTTTCCAGAAAATAATTTAAAATTAAATAACAAGCCTACTGGTTTTTGAAAAATGAATATATCTCAATTAGTTCAGAAGATACAGAAGGTGTCCAAAGGGCGGGCGTAAGTCCATTCCATTTTTGACAAAGAGGCGTAAGTCCACCCGTTTTCTGACAAAGAGGCGTCAGTCCAGGTGGTTTTTTGACAAAGAGGCGTAAGTCCAGGTGGTTTTTTGACAAAGAGGCGTAAGTCCAGGTGGTTTTTTGACAAAGAGGCGTAAGTCCAGGTGGTTTTTTGACAAAGAGGCGTAAGTCCAGGTGTTTTTTTGACAAAGAGGCGTAAGTCCAGGTATTTTTTGACAAAGAGGCGTAAGTCCAGGTGTTTTTTTTGACAAAGAGGCGTAAGTCCAGGTGGTTTTTTGACAAAGAGGCGTAAGTCCAGGTATTTTTTGACAAAGAGGCGTAAGTCCAGGTGGTTTTTTGACAAAGAGGCGTAAGTCCAGGTGGGTTTTTGACACAGAGGCGTAAGTCCAGGTGGGTTTTTGACAAAGAGGCGTAAGTCTAGGTGAGTTTTTGACAAAGAGGCGTAAGTCCATCGGCCATTATGACAAAGAGGCGTAAGTCCATAGGCCATTCTGACAAACAGGCGTACGTCCATAGAGCATTCGGACAATCAGGCGTAAGTCCATGGACCTGTCTGGCGAACAGGCGTCGCACAGTGGGCCAGGAAGCCTGTTTAGGCGGACATAATTCCATTTTTTCAACTCTCGAATCTTTAAGTTTTTTTTCGTGATAACTCTTCCCAATACTCCAAGGAACCAGGATTGGACGGAATTTCAACACAGGGACACGTTATAGCCAACATACAGGTGGTCAAACACGCACCAAACGATTTGCGCTACTTTGGTGCAGTAAATATGCATGATTTCAAACGCAAAAAACACTTATTAATTTTTGTCCAGCATACTTTTTATTGGCACCACGTGAAAGGGCGTTTCTTTACGAAAATTTACATACATTTACATTTGACTTTGGACGATTTTTGTGGTGTCCAGCTTTATTTTACTACGCTTTGACAAAATTGTCAAAATTAATCTTTGCAGAGGCGGCACTTTTTGTTTAACGTTGTTTAACGGCCTCCTTCAGTCCTTGCGGAAGCCAACATGCCAAGGAACAAAACCCAAAAGATTAGCTGCACCTACTTGCACCTTTGAGTTGTAGGGTCTCCTAAACATCGCCGAAAATGCGAAAAACAGCCCCGCGCAGCGCAACGCTTCCCGGCGCAACGGAGGCGCCGCTGCATAGTAGTTGCTTGTAATGATTAGAGTTGTGCATGTCAGAGTTTGTCTTCAACGCGAGTATGCTTGTTTAGGTTTTTGCGTTGTTTAATTCATGAAAACGTAAAAAAGGTGTCAGACCATGTCTTGGCGTAACAGGTCCCTTTCTATCAGATGATGTCAAATTTCACACTGGGGGTCTGATATTGTCTAAAACGGATTCCTCGCCCCTAAAAACCCCCCCGACTACGAAGTTACACCCCAAAAATAACGATTGGTACGGCCTAGGAGAATTATGTCCGCCAAAAACCGGCTTCGTGGCCCACTGTGCGTCGCCCGTACGCCGGGGGGCAATGGGTTTTCGATGTTTGGCCGTTTTCGTCGGATTTCGCAAGATTTTGTCCAATTCTATGCCTAAAATCTGCTTGTGTTTTGCCTTCTTGGAGAAAGATTTCGGTTTTCTACACATTTCAAGGGCTCCATTGGACGCACAGTTTATTGAGTAGGCGAGTGCATTCGCTTGTTGCGTGCACTGCAAAGCCAGTGGCCAGGTTTCTTGCCACGGCAAGCCATCTAGAATGCCAGAAGTTCGCAAGCTCTGACCCGAAACCTTCCGACGCTTGTCACTAATATGCGCTCCAGCCCCCAGCGAACCCGTGATTTTGAGCTTACGTAACGTCAAACTGCTCTCTCTGAAAAAAAAAATAGATAATAGCAAGTCTTTTCTTTCCAACCACGACGAGTATGCTCAAAATACTTCGCTGTAATAGGTCGCCTTGGGCTGCTGAGATTTACAGAGTGTACTGACACCCCTGTCGTTGCTTTAGATTACGGGGACCTCCTCTTCTCCGTCGGCCTCGGCCGCTACATGCGTGCCCTGACTCGCGTGTCGTCGCAACCGGCCTTCTTCTACCTCTTCACGTTCGACGGCAAGCTGTCTGTCTCAAGAAGCTGGCTCGTCGAACTGCCAGGTACGTATACCCACACTGAAAAGAAAGTCTAGTTACAGCTACTAGGATTTTGGTGCCAATTACCAGACAGTCTAATTGAAAAGAAACGAACAAGGAATCTAGTTACAAATACCAGACTGCCTAGTTGATCTCTATCATATAAAAATAACCAGATTCTTTGTAATCCTAACCATGCCATTAGCAGGCGCGTAATTAGGGGGGGGGGGGGGGGGGGGGGCGACCGCCCCCCCCTTTTAGCCCCCGAAGGGGGCCAAAAAGTAATGCCCTTAGTGGGTCCGATTGGCCTAAGAAATAGCAGTTGGTCAGGAATCGTCCCTTAGCCTGGCCCGAACAACTCGCATTTTGGACACACTTAGGCATTGGCTTCTAGCTCGCTTCGCTCGCTGGAGGTAACTTGCTTCTGGGTCCTCTCCGCTGGCAAATTAACAGGATTGAGGTACCTCATGACTGATATATGTGATGCCTTCTTCGATCCTTAACCATCTTAGGCCGGGAAGAAAATTTGTTTGCAACGTATTTTCAACCATTTGTTTGTCTGGCCAACCGAAAATATGTACCTGGTAATGTTTAAAATCTCCTGGAACCCTAGGACTAAGACCCCAAGTTATAACATTTCCCGCTCAACAAGGCTTAGCTTTTAGCTCGCTTCGCTCGCAACAGGAAGCCTCTTCTAAATTTCGGCTCTGTGGCAAGTGGAGGGAAGCAAAGTGCGCCAGCCCTTCTAGACGAAAAAGTCTTCCCCATTGTAGGACTCGGAAACAACGTTTCAGACAGTTAAGCATTTATAGCGTTTGGCTCGCTTCGCTCGCTGAGAGCTATCTAATTCTAAATTCTCGCTATGAGTCCAAACAAATGTAGAATAAAGTGAATCCTCTTCAAACTTTGTAACAACCCCTCAATTTTCTGTAACGTTGTTTTGAATTTAGCCCCCTCCCTCCCCAAACCACGTCCCTAAAAATTACCTATCAGACACAGGCTCCTTGAAGGTAGGCAACTTTTCAAACATTCGCCCCCCCTTTCGACCCGCCTAATTACGCCCCTGGCTATGAGACCCCCAATCTAGTAAAAATGACTAAATTTCTAGTAAAATTTTTAAATTATAAAAAGAGGAAAAAAAGAAGAAAAAGGATTTCGCGACTTACCGCCCCCACATTAGGGTGGACCACTTTTTTTTTAAGTTTCAAAAATTGAGGAGCGCCGTCCAGATTCTGAAAGTAGGTGTAAAATCATGAATTTTGATATAAATATGATTAGATTTGGACCATGTTTAGGGGTCCATCAACGCACCTAAACTTTAAAGAAAAATTGAAAATGGACTGGTTTACTAAAATCGATGCTGTTTCGAGAGTCTTTGACCGATTTTCGATTGCAAAACGGCCATCTTTTCGGAAAAGTGCGTTGCACTCGATGATGTACATTACATGACGATCAAACGCATTGCCTATTTTCCAGGGGCGTACAATCTCGTTTTTAGCCCCTAAATCCAACATGTTCCTGCGCTTTGAACGTGTTTGAGTCGTCTGATCGGATTGTTTGGGGTACCATTCGACGCGCCTGATCAAAACCTTTCAAAAAATGTCTCGGGCGTCAAAATCGGTTAGGTTGCCTACTGTACAGGAGCAAAAAATCACTGAAATTTGCCGGTAAAGTGCACTTTTGTGATACAAAATGTCTGGTTTAGCATCTGGTCGGATTATTTGTGGTGCCATTTGACGCGACTGGTCAAAAACTTTCGAAAACCGTCGCAGACGTCCAAATCCGGTGGGTTGCCTATCCTCCAGACGAATTTTAGACATTCGACATTTTTTGCTTGTAGGGTCGGCAACCCACCGGATTTTGGACGTCTGCGACGGTTATCGAAAGTTTTTGACCAGGCGCGTGAAATGGCACCACAAAAAATCCGACCAGAAGCCAAACCAGATATTTTGTAACACAAAAGTGCACTTTTCGGGCAAATTTCAGTGTTTTTTGCTCCTGTACGGTGGGCAACCTAACCGATTTTGACGCCCGAGACATTTTTTGAAAGGTTTTGATCAGGCGCGTCGAATGGTGCCCCAAGCAATACGATCGGACGACTCAAACACCTTCGAAACGCAAGAACATGTTGGATTTAGGGGCTGAAAACGAGATTGTACGCCCCTGGAAAATAGGCAATGCGTTTGATCGTCATGTTATGTACCTCATCGAGTGAAACAAACTTTTTCGAAAAGATCGCCGTTTTGCAATCGAAAATCGGTCAAAGACTCTCGAAACAGCATCGATTTTAGTAAACCAATCCATTTTCAATTTTTCTTTAAAGTTCAGGTGCGTTGATGGACCCCTAAACATGGTCCAAATCTAATCATATTTATATCAAAATTCATGATTTTACACCTACTTTCAGAATCTGGACGGCGCGGCGCTCCTCAAGTTTTGAAACTTTAAAAAAAAGTGGGCCACCCTACCCCACATGTGGGAAAAGGTAGAGTTGAGATGAAACATTTTTCCGGCACGTGTCTGGCCGGGATCGAACCTCGGGTCTTCCTCTTACGAGCCAAGCTCGTTACCACTGCGCTATCACGCCACTTTGGGAAGATCAGTGTCCCCGCCCGATGGCACTGCGCATCGTTTAGCCGCCCATCTAATGCCGCTAAAAGAGTCGCATTTCCTGCAACAAAACGTTGCTTTGGAGATTGCAGTGTTAAATTTGACGAAAGTTACTAAGCAGTATAGTTAAAATTACTAGGAATATTAACTAGACGTCTGGTTAAGGTTACCATACCCATGCTAGTAGATATAACTGCAAATCTGGTAAAAAATAGAAGGTTTTTGGTTATTATTACCAGTGCTCGTTCAACTAGGAACAGTCTGGTACTTTTAACTAGACCCTTTTTTCGGAGTGACGCTTTTTAGACCCCCTCAAAGTTGCTCCAACTCTGACGCCTTACAGCTTCTAAATGGTTTAAAGTAGTTTCATAGCTAAGGGGCCTACGGTGAAAGGGCGTATATTTTTATACCTAACTGTTCACGAGAACCTCCGCTACACGTTGGTGTGTTCGAAAAGTATCGTTCATGCATTAGTTTGCAAGATATTTAGAGTTAAAGTTTGGGTATTCTAACATGGGACCTTACGGGAGAGCCGCGGAAGGGCCCCGTAAATTTCATATCTTTCAGTTTGTATACGGTGAAAATTCTCTAAAAAACTAATCAGCGGGTTCATAATTTCATGAGGAACGCGACGGTGTAAATGAAAGTACTCCTTCATGTGCTTTTAAGAGAAATATTTGTATTTAAAGAGCCAAAAGCGGGTCCGATCAGCGGCAATGGCGCCGGGTCCTTCCGGTCGGCGCCGCAGCGCTAGGCGCGCGCGCCCTCAAACCACTCGGACGGAATACAAGCTGCTATGTAATTACTTCTCAGCAATAACTTGACCAAGAGTCCTGGAACGTAAGAACAGATATTATATGGGGTTATTCCTAAAAGAGCAAGAGAAATTTGTGCTTCGGAAAGTCCATTTAATTCGAAAGAGCGGGGCTACCTGGGACCGAGTAGCATTGCCAACCTGACGGCCCCAACTCGCAGTCTCTTCTGAAGACACAATATCTGCACAAACAATCTGTTTTTGTACGTCAATATTTATTTTCGCGATCTAAAATGTCTTGATAATTTGAGGGAATGATTTTGGTCGTCGTTCGACTGTCATAATATTATTTACTAGCTTGAACCTCCGTGTTTGGAGGTTCTCGTCAGGACAAAACCTAGTCAAGTGCAGAACTTTTTCGCCTATAGATAATTGCTATTTAATACATAATACAAAACAAAAAAATCTAAAAATGTTTTAAAGCCCAAATAAAGTGGCTTTAGCACCAAAGTGCTTTTTTAAAAATAATTGCTGATTATTTTCAGTCGGTTTGTCAGTGGTAACAGTTGTGCACTTGACTAGACCCTTTAGCTATGAAACTACTTTAAGATAGAAACCTGGGCGTGTGCTCATCGGCTATCGGCTCTTTTTTCACGATACTGTGTCAACGGATTGTGGGGAAAAAAATTATTTGTGACCATTTTCTCAAGATTTAAGTATTTCCGTTAAAAATTGGTCGTTTTTTTGTAAATATTTCTCAAGATATTGGTTAGAGGTCAAATCTGTGACCATATTCTAGTTCCTTGGACAATTTTACTCATAAAGTCCAATTTTCAGCAACGTAGCACCAAAAACCTCAGAGAAGTTAAGGGGGCTCATACATGTTAAAAGCACTTAGTAAAATTTTTTTTGATGAAGTTGTATTAAGATTTTACAATTTCTGTGCTAAAACCCTTTTAGATAATTGAGTAAGCTTCATTTTGGCTTAAAGGAAAGTGACTTTGGGCATTTTTGGGAGATTTAGTCGAAACGTTTTAAATTTTGGTTCTCGTAAGATTTTGTTCGCATACTTGCTCAGATCTGTGGGGAAAAAATCGGGGAGACTCATCCCTAGTAGTGTCATTGAATTGACTACAATGGGCTTTATATCTGCAATAGTTTTCAAGAAAAAAATATAAACAATTTTTTTTAACAATTTTTAAAACAAATTTTTAACAAAAAATTGTTTTTATTTTTTTTCTTGAAAACTATTGCAGACATAAAGCCCATTGTAGTCAATTCTATGACACTACTAGGGATGAGTCTCCCTGATTTTTTCCCCACAGATCTGAGCAAGTATGCGAACAAAATCTTACGAGAACCAAAATTTTAAACGTTTCGACTAAATCTCCAAAAAATGTCCAAAGTCACTTTCCTTTAAGCCAAAATGAAGCTTACTCAATTATCTAAAAGGGTTTTAACACAGAAATTGTAAAATCTTAATCCGTCTAAATCAAATTTATTTTTTTTTGCAAAGTGCTTTTAACATGTATGAGCCCTCTTAAGAAACTCTCAAATTAGGTAAAAATATGGCAAATTTGGAAAACATCTGTTTTCTCGGCCAGTAAATTTTTAACGACCTCATATTTTAGGAAACATTCTAAAAC